CCCCCCCCCCCCCCCGAATCTGTTTGGTTACTGAGAAAAAATCGGCGGATGCGAAAGGAAAATCAATATGTTCGGATTTGGAAGTCTCAGCTGCCAACAGACAGAGGTTTAGAACTTTTGAACCTTTGGTTTGGACATGATGAACTGGTGGAAAACTTTGTATAATTTTTTTTCGTACGATGTTTATTCCTTGGTTCTGCATCTGTTTGGTTGCTGAGAAAACGAGGAAAAGCATCACTAGGGCTACATATTGAATTTTCCCTCAGTTTCCAGACCGGGTTTCACCGAGTTCTCTCAACTCAATTGTTTGGAGCGTGATAAGAGAATCAGACAAAAAGGGTTTTCTTCACCAATCCATCATATGTTTGTAGGTTAAGTTCTATGCTTACCTCTTGGGTCTGCACTTTGATGAAAGCTTTGGATTCTGTCGAGGTGTTCCGTTTCAGCAATTTTTCTGAGGATGATGAATATGCGGTATCTCATGTTTCGACTTCTGAATCCAGAGTTTCTGCATCTTGATGGGTGCATTTGTGCTTGGCAATTATGTTTGATTCCTTGATGAAAGATTATCACAAGAGCCCTGTACCTTTACAAATCAATCCAGCTTATGCTACAGCAATGGCGCCGTGGTAAAAGTTTCCTGGATTTTCTTCCTCACATGGTTGTTTTGATAAGAAAAACACGTGAAAGAAGCACCAAACCTGTTTTGTTCTGTTCTCTTGTGTTGTTGCATTGACAGAGCTTTTGTGATTTCTCAGTAGCAAAGTTTTCCGTCAATCTCTCGGCGTTTGCTGTTTGAAGCTATTTCCTTTCATGGCCTTCTGAAATGTTAAATTACCGCATATGTTCTACGTTTTCACGTGAAGAATCCTTGTTTTAGCATCAACATCTATCCCTTTCTTGATTTTTTTGTTCTGGTGAATCAAATGCAGTGATGGATTTCCAAGGAAGAACACTACTCGTTCAACAGGGAATAAATCCTTCACATGTCTTAACTTTCATGGAATCAGAAACGTTGGTTCAAAGGGGACCATCCACATATAGTACCAATGAGTTGGGTAATGTGGAGGCGACTATTAGTGACATCAATGGTTAAAGTTCATCTAGAGAGCATTTCCCAATGCTCATATGCCTCTTTCATGAGTTTCTATTTCTATGCATGGAAGTGGGGATGATGGATGGATAAGAACAGATTCACATGCCAAACGTATCATGTCTATGTCATGACATCATTTGGCTAAAGGGCACTCAAGGGAGACTTGTTCCTTTTTGTTGTGTGGCTTGCTGTTCTGGCAGAGAATTGGGAATCTCTCCAAGGTGACAATGGACGCTCCAGCTTCTGGGCCGATGGGGGCAAGCGTGAATTGGCACTGTGATTCCATTCTCCAATTGGGTAAGACAGCAGAGTCCATATTATTGAAGATGAGAAACGTCAATGATCTTTTCTGTAAATGATGATGATGATGTGATTCTACTTGTTGCTGGCCATTTTCAAAGAGTAAATTTTGTTAAATCTACTTTAGAAAGATATGGAAGCTTGTTCTCATTCACATTCAGGAAGCCACTGAAACTTCAACACAAACAGAACAGTTAGTCCTAAAACTAAGACGAAAATCTCTGTTTCCTCCAAATAACTCAACTCGGCATTGATTCACGTGTCGAAATAATCTTTAGTTTTACAAGATTTCTTCACGACGAAATAAGGCAATACATCAAATATTCAATCCCCGCCGACTTGACGCTTCCACGAGTCCTCCACGATCAGTTCATCCACTCCCCATTCCTCATAGCTGTTTACATAAAATCCGGTATGGCCAAATATTGCGAGATTTCCATAAATATAGAGTGGGATTTTGCTATGCGGGGCTCCAATGCAATTAAAAACTCACCTTCCGTCGGGCAGATAACGCCTAATCGTGAAGGGTATCTTACGCTCCCGCAGCTCCTTCATTGCAATCTGAACAGATAAAAAAAGATTGGCAATATGTATATAACTCACCTTACCTACATCCATTGGCAAACTAACCACGAGAACCTTTTACATGGTTGAAATGAAATCAAACCTCGAGTGGATCAGACTCGCCCTCCAATTCGACCATGACTGGAGCATTCATGCTGTGATGTACAGAGAATTAAAAGTGGATGAATTTCCTAAGCCAACTCTAACAAACACAACAAGATTGGAATACAAATCTGGCGTTAATCCAATCAAGTATCCTCCAGTTTTCCGGTATGAGAATGTCTACAGCAAGTTCTACAACTTCTTCATGGAAATTTATGACAGCTCAGTCCACAATAGTTTACAATTGAAGAAGTTGATTTCAAGGATGAATTCAAGCTTTAAAATCACTTGCCAAGAAAGCTAGAAAACCAAACCTTATCTGTAGAGCACGTGTTCCAAGGATCCGAGCGCGTTCATACTTGGTCATGTACTTTGATGTTTTACGTGAACGTGCCACTTGCTCTTGTTCTGCCTTATTATCTGTTTCAAGAGGCTCGCCAGGAGGAACATCATCGTTATCCTTGTTATCCACATCTTCTTCTATTCCCTCCTGCCGAAGAATGGTCGACACAAAATATTAGACAACAGAAAAAGAAGTCATTTACGTTTCATAAAGACAACAATATGACTCCTTACATCTAATTCAGGCTCCGCCGGCTCATCCTCATACCTGCAGACAAATCGATTAGATCTCATCTCATCAACATCTTGACCCACAAAATACGAAATACCAAAACAAATCTGTTGATAATGATTCCTCGGATATATAAAAGTATTGCTCAGATTTGGCATTTGTTGATTCCCAGACACAATGAGCTCTCTTTGAGTATATTCAAGTTCAAGTAATGTGAGAGGGTCAACGGTTGAGGACCCCTCCCTCTTCTTCGGGGTCTAACACAAAAACATAAGCAATGCACCAGAAAACACAGCGTCAAATCCGGAAAGAATTCTATGATACAATCAGAATAACTGATTGTTTGTTCCCTTCAGACTCATAGAGCCAACACTAATCAATTGCTTTCCTGAACAAATCAATTTGACATATTTCATCAATTCGTAATAAAATTTCAACTAACTACTGTCACCGGAGTTGACCGATCTCAATTTTAATCGGATCAAATCAATCCTCACCATTCCCCATACTTCGTCGGAAAGAAAACAGGAGTATCCCGGATCATAGAGTAGAACACACATAACTACACAAGGGGGGGAGAGAGAGAGAGAGAGAGAGAGAGAGAGAGAGAGAGAGAGAGAGAGAACCCGAAATCATCGACGTCGTTGTAGTCTTCGTCAGCCATGGAAACCGGCAAGCTGAGCTTCCTCCTTGCTTACAGTCCTCCCGAAACCCTACTATTGAGAGTCAACCTGACAAAGAGAAATCGCCGAATAATACAGTGATTTTTTTTGGGGTTTTCCAGTCCGAGCGAACTTAAATAAGACGCTCTGCATTTTTTTTTATTCAGAAGCTTGTCGGGCCTAAGAAATTAATAGTAACATATATTGGGCCTGATGGGCCCACACAACTTTTTGGGCCTTAAATACATACGTGCCCCCCTAATAAGTAATAACAATATCGTTTGGACGGGTATTATTATTGGAAAATCAACTTTAATTAATTTTTGCGTGTATATCATTATTAAGCCTTGTAATTAGGATTTCCATATAATTGATCGGACTAAAACTATTGTAGGGGAGAGTGGTGGTAGGCCGTGGAAAAGCCCTCCTCGCTTGAATTAGACAGTTTTAAGCGGGAAAAATTCGTCTCCCGCCAGAGAGATACTTGTATTCCCCATTTTGTTTCTCCTTATGCGATTCGATTTTAGGGTGGGAATTTCTGTAATCTCCACTGAGTAGTTTCTGTTTGCTGGATGCTAGGGTTTGCGAGTTCGAGAATTTGATCGGGGAATGGAAAGCAGCAAGGGCGACGCGGTGTTTGATTCTCTGAATCTGAATCCTCAGCTATTCATCAACGAAACAATCAACACCGTCGATGATATTGTCGACGAAGCCTTTGATTTCTATCGCCGGTACTTACTCTCTCTCTCTCTCTCTCTCTCTCTCTCTCTCTCTCTCCAACTCCCTCTGTTATGGGAGATTTCGCTTCGTCTGTGGAAACTTTTCAATTAAGCGTTTGACGTTTTTTTTTTGCAGAGAAGCATCAACTCTTCTGAAAATCGAAGGATCTGATAGGTCTGAGGATTTGTCACATGTGAGTTTTGATAGTTTCAGCTCCCAATCTGTTCATTTAGCTTGATTATGCTCGGATTTGTGCTTGAAATCGTGAAATGAAGTTAGATTTCACGATGAGCTAGGTTTCTCATGTGTTGCTGATTCGCACTGTAAGAAAGCTGCTTAGCCTGGTTTTTGGTTGCTCGTTGACATACCTTTAGGGTATTGACCATGTTCATGGTATGATACAATCGATTCTGGACAAGCGTTTGCAAATGTGGGAGCATTACTGCCTTCGACACTGTTTTTCAGTTCCTGATGGGTTTACAATGCCTGAAAGTGTGAGTCTCTGTCCTTTTCTTTCCCTTCGTACGCTCATTTCGTGATCCCCTTCTCAGTTTTTCTGTGATGTTCACTGAATCTTTTTTGTTACTCAGGATGGCTCAGCGAATCATGAGCAATCTAGCCAAGATGCCTCATACAATCTGGAGTTAGATGCACAATTGGATTCTCTAAGGGAGAAGCTTAGTTTGGTGAGACAGAGAAGTTCTTCTTACGATACCCTAATCCTTGTGTTGGATATGGTTTTGGTTTCTGACAGAGGGATCTTGTTTTAGGTAGGAAAGAAGTCTGCTGAGCTGAACTCGGAGCTCCAAGTTCTTGAAAGAACCTCTGGTTCAAGTGATATCTCTGCCAGGCTTGTAAACGAGGCTCTGCAGCTGTATGATCAGCCCTCTGTTGATGCTATGTTCAAAGGTAATCAGCATGTAAACTTCATTTAGCTTTGGTATATTGAGTTCTCAGGAATAAGTCTATAACCGGGAATGCCCCGAAAATGAGTTCCAGAACTCATCATTGCACGAGCACAAGGAGTGCGTCTGAAAATGTGTCTCTTGATAAAATTTATGTTCTGTCTCACTATTCCTTTAGGTCTGCAAATCGACACAACTAACTGTAGAAAAATATTTTCCTGATCTGACGGGCTACACCGTATTTATATCTGTAACTGTGAAGTATTGTCTCAAAATGTTTGCCTTATGCAGAGATGGCGAGAACTGCCTTAGAACTTGGTACACAGATGGATAAATTGAAAACAAAAAGGATGGAACGCATTGAGCGCGTTAAAGCAGAGAGGATAAAGAACCCTCGCAAAGGATTCTCTGCAGCGACTTATGGTCTAGGTACTTTTGTAAAAGAATTGTCCGTTTTGCTAATCTTTGTTAGATAAGGAAGAGTTCCATGTTTATTAACTATATACTCTCTCTTTTTTTTCCTAATTTTGTGGATTTCTCAGATGCAAAACTGAAAGACCTTGAAGACTTTCTAGCGGAACTAAGGAGGATGTGAAGTTGTCAGTTGCACACAGGCACAGGCAAGGCAACAGGTGTGTGTGGTTCTTTTCACAGTTGATCTGCCAAGCAGTTGTATGTTTTAGCTATTTCCTGTATAATTTGTAAAAACTTAGGGTTTCATACGTGTAACTTGAACTGGAAGTGGAAGGGGGATTGCTTCACTTCACTTCACTTCATCCAAGTGTGACATGTTCTTAGCCTGTATAACTGGTGGTAGCTCTATGGCCTTTAAAATCCGCATGTGGCTATCCTTAGAATGGCTGATGAATGTGAAGGTGTGTGGGCAGAATAGGCTTCTCTTGATGTCCGTGGCCGTAGTAATAGGATCTCATCAGTTTTGCCCAAAGTGCTGTGTCTTCAGATTCGATTACTTTGGTTTTATAGCTAGAGATGGACATTCCATTCGGTTATTTCTGTTATTAGCCCAACCAACTAAGGGTATTCCAGTTATTAATTGAATCGATTGGTTATGAATTCAAAACTCGAAATAACTGTATTTTAATTTTTTGGATTTGTGTTTGATTTTTTCCGATTTTAAATAAATCAGAACTACTTCATTATTCCTTTTTTTACGGTTACTTTTAGAAAGTTGATCTCTTTAAGGGGGAAACGTGTTTCCGTCCCCAGGAATCGAATCTTTCCTCCCATCAAATCATCTTATTTTTGTACTATATAATATATCTTTCCTCCTGTCGGTGTGATACGGAGCTTTACGGGTTTAAGTTTTGGAAATTAGGGGTGGGCACATGATTCGATTAAGGTTAATTGGTTACGGTTAACTTAAATTTATTTATTTTTAGTTTTAAAATTTTATAATCAAATGGTTATTTAATTTTATTTGATTTTGTCTAATTAAAATTACAACTAAAATGAAAGTTGAATTCGATTATAATATTAAAAAACATATTTCAATTCGTTTTATAATACAAGTGGAATGCTTTGTTCACCCCTAATGGAAATAACTTTTCAGAGAATATTTTGAAGGCGAAGTTGGTCTACAATATATAACCTCTAGATGGTCTTGTGAGAGATATCATGTATGCATGTGAGATTCAAGCTATGCATCTATCTTCTCGATTAAATTTTATAGGAAAGGGAAAAAAAGATTGAATTGTTTGGAGATTTTTCTGTGTTTCCAATAAATGGATTGTGTGTGTGATTGTGAATATTGGAAATGTTGCTAACAAAACAGTAATCCAAAGAAATGTGACTCGTGCGATTTTGTTAAAGATAACGTTTTCAATGTTTCACATATATATATATATATATAAGCATATATATAAGCTTTGGCTTTTTTTGCCTTTAGTTTTTTTTTTTCCTGCGTCACGTGATTCTTTCGTTCACCCTTTGTCGTCGTTACTCACGAGGTTGCCGTTTATCACCTGATTTTTTTCAATCTTGAATGCCTCATCCCCCACATCGCTTTATGTATATATACACACACATATATATTGGGTGTTATATTGATGTATCGACTTTGTTTTATTCCCGTATATACAATTTGTTTTTTATTATAAAAATGGATTTTTTAAAATTTTGGGTTTAAATATATTATTCCTCGACTCTTCTCACCTGAAATTTATCTATACTTTTCATCATAAATTACTTTTTGAAAAATATTATGACATTAAAACAAAATAAAATAAATGTAGTTAAACAAATGGCCATCAATGATTGGATTCTCCCACTTGCAGATGAAAAGAAGATTCTCTTTCGGTGGTTGTCACTTCAGACCGAAGAGAAGCCAAGCCGGTCCATGGGGGCCAGGAATCCACTTGTAGATTTCTTTTCAATTTTCATTTTAACCCCTTCTTCTTATAAAACTTATTAATGCCCCCACAAACTTTCTAATTCTCCAACCACGTCACCCCCACACGTAATTCGGGATTCATCCATAGAAGTTTCCGTTCACCTTCCAAATTGGAATTAGGAATTCGGAATTCTTCTTCTGTTTTTCTGATAACAAAGTGATTAGGATTTGGAAGTACTATAATTTACACAGTATGTTGTAAAAAATTCACTTGAGACCGTAACGGTGGATGACCCAAGACCAGACAACACATAAAATTGTGGCAGAAATAATCAAACTTCGATTTAATTTTTCATAAAATTCCAACAATTTTAAAAATTAAAACTTCCAAATGGATTAAGGATGAGTTTCGAAATATATGGGGTCTTAATCGAATATTGTATAAATTCAGGGGACTGTACGCGTTTTAGAGTGTAAACAGGGTTGGGAGAGAATCTTTGCATACATATAAGATCCACTATTTCTCGTCTCTCTCCCCGTTTCGTCCCCAGAGAGAGAGAGATGGATGTACGAGGAACGCCTGCGGGACATGGCTTCTACATGCCGGCGGAGTGGGAACATCACTCCCAGTGTTGGATCGGTTGGCCTGTAAGTTTGCCCTTTTTTTTTTTTTGAGAGTCTTCGTCCCTTCATGACGGCGAGTGATTAGGAGGAAATCATCGATCGATTTGTGTAACCCATTGCGGTTCGGATTTCTGGGTTCTTCTGTTTAGTCCTTTGGTGTTTTTATTGTTCTTCAGATCCACTTTCAGATACTTTTGTTGTCCCTCCTCGTAATTTTCTCCCGTTCGCTTTGTTGCCCTCTCTCTCCCTCTCTCTCTCCCTCTCTCTCTCTCTCTCTCTCTCTCTCTCTCTCTCTCTCTCTCTCTCTCTCTCTCTCTCTCTCTCTCTGAGACACCGATTTGCTTTGTTAAGGAATAGAATGATCAACACAGGAACAACCTCAGCAAATCCTTTCCAGAATCCAGTTTTCTCGATCGGTTTCCTGACTACCTTAGCAGAACTCAAGCTTCAGAAACAGCAGCTTGTGATAAGTTTCTTTATGTTTTTTTGTGAGAAACCGATGTTACATGGATGTTCACATCCTCGGGCCCTGCCTCCATCTTCTGTTTCCTGTTTGATGATCTCTTAATTCAACTTTCCTTCACACACTTATGAGTCATCTGGGCTCATCTCAGTATCTCTGCTCAAACTTAAAGCAGAGGATTTGTAGCGATGGCGATCAGGTTCATCACCACTACCTTATGTGTTTCTGTGTATTATTCTGACATTAATTGCTTCAGGAACGGCAAGATAACTGGAGGGACAATGCTGTTCATGCTCAACGTGTGTTTGCCAATGTCGCAAAGGCCATCTCAATGTTTGAGCCCGTTACCGTCTGCGCAAGCTCTTCTCAGGTTTTGTCTGGAATCGAGATCCGAATTTCATCCATGGATGGATCCATGTGCTTGGTCTCTTCACTCACTGTTCATGTTTTCTGTTTGGTTAGTGGGAAAACGCAAGAAAGATGCTCCCACGAAACATCAGAATTGTTGAGATGAGAATGGACGATGCTTGGTTTCGCGATACAGGACCAACTGTGAGTGTTATATAACACTATCATAGTATCTATCATCGCCATTGAAGCTTCTTATGAGCAAATCTCTCAACGTTTGCATTTCCCCGTCATCTCGATGAATTTGACCTTTGCTCTTCTGCCTCTCTTTACAGTTTGTGGTGCGAAAGAGAGCGTCGAAACTCAGTTCTCTTGACCGGAATGTTGCGGGAATTGACTGGAACTTCAACGCCTGGGGCGGTACTGTAATTACTGATTTAACTCCTGGTTTTTGCACCGTTGAAACTCGGGGTAATACCTTACTTAACCCTAGACTTAATCCAATGCAGGAGTTGATGATGGCTGCTACAATGATTGGAGTCATGACCTTCTGGTTGTAAGAAAGGTTTAGCTACTACTAATCAAACTCCTCCTCCTAGCCCAGTTCCTTTTCAATCTCTGCAACACTTTTTCACGGATTTGATCTCTGTTTTTTTTTCCTCTCTGCGTCAGATTCTCGGTGTTGAGCGGCTTCCAAGATTCCCACAGTCGATGATTCTTGAAGGGGGAAGTATCCATGTGGACGGGGAAGGTTAGATACATTCTGTGCTATTTCCAAGATTTCATCGTGTTGCCGATTTATATTTCGGGATCTCCTTTTTCTTTTCAATTCAGGAACTTGCCTTACAACAGAAGAGTGTCTCTTGAATAAAAACCGTAACCCGAATATGACGAAAGAGCAAATAGAGGAAGAACTCGAGAAATATCTCGGTGTCAAGAAGATTGTTTGGCTACCTCGAGGACTCTATGGTACCTCCATACTCTTGTAAATTGGTGTTACAATTGTATTCTTATAGCTCTTATCCGACATTAGATGGCCAACACTGACAGGTGACGAGGATACAAACGGACACATCGATAACATGTGCTGTTTCGCTCGGCCGGGAGCTGTGTTACTGTCTTGGACTGATGATGAAACCGACCCTCAGTACGAAAGATCCATGGAAGCTCTCTCCATTCTCTCGGATTCCACCGACGCTTGTGGCCGGAAACTACAAGTCATCAAACTGCACATTCCCGGGCCGCTTTATATGACCGAAGAAGAAGCCTCTGGAATCGTTCAGGCAAGAAAATTATTCTCTAACTTCGGGTATTAAAAATTGTAACTTTGATATTGTTTTGGGATGAATGGATACAACTTTGAATGGAATAAGCTCTCAATGATGGGTATGGTGCAGGATGGGGATGCGAAACCGAGACTTCCAGGGACGAGACTTGCGGCCTCGTACGTGAATTTCTATATCGCCAATGGAGGGATCATCCTGCCTCAGTTCGGTGACAAAAGACGGGATGCGGAAGCCATTCTCGTCCTCTCTCAAACCTTTCCCCATCACACGGTACGCTAAAAAGGGGTCACTTTCCCCTTTACAATTCGTTATCGTCGATCAAACAGCATGCGCAAATGCTCGGTTCCTATTGTAGAGTAGACTATATATCGATCTTGATCGATAGATTCATCGAGTTTGGCCTTTTACATTCTCTTGCTTTTTGTTAAGATAAAGAGGCAGCTATTCGTATTGTGACTAAGTAGCAAACAGAACAGAGTTAAAGAGGGGTGAACTGTGGTGAAGAACACCATCAGACTAAACCGGGAGAGATTAAACCCGGTTTATGTGAACCGGTTTCTTATGTTTTGAATCTGGTTGTGGTTTAGGTGGTGGGAATCGAGGGTGCGAGGGAGATTGTCCTCGGCGGAGGGAATATACATTGCATAACGCAGCAGCAGCCGTCTGAACCCACCTGCGTCCCCGCCGGCGAAGAATACTGAGCGCGTCTTCTCCACGCGCCACCGCATGCTCAAGAGAGAGCCAGTAACAGAAACAGCTGTTTGCTGTTTTTTGTCGGTGGAGAGGAGAGAGAGGAGGTTTTCGTTCCGCGAACCTGGGAAGTGGTGGGGGATCTCAATCATTTATTAATATTTTGAGAATTGTTTAATCTTAGCCGTTTATTATGTTTCGAACCCTTAGATCAGGGCCGTTCGATTTGTCCCAAACATCACTGGATTTGTGTTTGTACTTTAGCCCATTGGTTTTGCATCCAAGTGCAAAATTATGGTCACGCACATACTAATAAATCAGTATATGATTTTTTTTATCGTTAATAGTAATTAAGTAAATTAAATCAAATTAAAACTGAAAGCCCGATAAATTAAATTAATTTAATGCTGTCTCATATACAGTCAGACATGAATGCTTCGACTCCAAATTTCTCCACCTTCCATATATTAACACAGAAGAAGCTGAAGGAGGAGAGAAAATTCGAGATCTGGGAATGCGAATCTAGAGGATCCGCGAATTGAAGTCTCCAGATCGAGATATTTCGATCGGATCCATCGAGAGTGTGAAGAGAGATCAGTGTTCGTGAGCAATGGGCTGTACGTTTTCCGGGTTGAACGCGTTCTACGACGCCGTGAACAGCGGAGGAGACGTGTGGATCAACGAGAACCGATTCAGGATCGTGCGGCAGCTCGGTGAAGGGGGCTTCGCGTTCGTCTATTTGGTCAAGGAGATCGCCGCCGACGCTTCCGCCGCCGCGGCCGGTGGTGGTCTGGCGAAGAAAGTAAAGGACCCTGCTCATCTCTCCGGTAAGTCTCTGAAATTGGCTTTTTTCTATTTCTCTCGCCTGGTTTCTGATCGGTCTCTAGTTTATTGATCTGGGTTGTCCAAATTTGAATCTGAAACTTGTCGTGTTCGGTTTTTGAATCTGAAACTGATCGGATTGTTGGAAATTTCACTGACGTGTGGTTCTTCTGGTGTTCACTGTAGGGCAATTCGGTTCTGCTTGAGTCTGGAACGTGTGATCCATTTAGTTCAAATGCGAATCAAACAGTTTCGCCTTGTTGCATGTTACGCTTTTCAGATTGGGGTTTAATCATGGCCGTTGTTCTTGAGCTGGTTCATAGTGTTCTTGTGTGACTATACCTGTGTAGCTCCAGAATTGTTGGTTTGTCAATCGTATACTTGAAAATCAATTGAAACATTTATCGAAGGGCATTGTGATATTGTGTTCTTGAGGAATTTAGTCGAGCATATTATGCAAATGGACATGATATGTTGTGAAAGGCTGATCACTGGGCTCTTTTGCATCATATCTTGTTTCATCAGCTTTTCGTCAATTAGAATGAGATGCTGAAAAGTATGGCATCTTTTTTCTCACTCGCCCGTGGACATAACAAAACTAAGTGATTTACCGGAAATTTGCTCTTCATTTTCTATGTAGCTGATGGGACTTATGCTATGAAGAAAGTCCTGATCCAGAATAAGGAGCAGTTGGAATTGGTGCGGGAAGAGATCCGTGTTTCATCGCTGTTCAACCACCCAAATCTGCTTCCACTCCTTGATCATGCCATCGTTTCGGTTAAGGTATTGAAGCTCTGTTCAGAACTTGCAGTACCTTATCATGTTAGTCAAAACGGGGAACCAAGTTCATGGTTGATGCTTTCTGTATTGCTTCTTCTGCTCAGTACAATCTCTCTGTAGTTTGGCTTAGCAAGGGCGTTTTATTTCGATTGGTCAGGCTGGGCAAGAAGGATCTTGGAAACACGAAGCCTTCTTGCTATTTCCTGTTCACCTCGAAGGAACCTTGCTGGATAATTTTACGGCAATGAAGGCCAAAAAGGAATCATTTTCTACAATCGATGTTCTGCATATATTCCACCAGGTGAATAATCTTCCTCTGCCCTCCGTCTTTGGTATGATCTTTAGCTTTTAGATTCTAACTTGGGTTAGTAAAAGCTATCTTCTTCATTTGGAACTATGGCGATATATGTTGTTTATTTGTGCCTGTTTTTTGATGATTTGGCACATTAAACAAACTTAGTTTATCTCAGTAAAGCTTTTCCAAGAGAAATCTGAGGGAGAAATAAGGTTCTGGATGGATAATCAATGATATTATTGTGGTAGCCAAATGCTGCAAGTCTTTTCTTTTTAACTGGCAAAGTTCTCGTCCTCGCAGCTTTGTGATGGTCTCAAGCATATGCACTCTCTGGACCCTCCATATGCTCACAATGATGTCAAACCCGGGAATGTTCTTTTAACCCATAGGAAGGGGCAGCCTCCTCTTGCAATATTGATGGACTTTGGCAGCGCTCGTCCTTCCAGGAAGCAGATCCGCTCCCGACAAGAGGCCTTGCAGCTGCAGGTTCTCATCTTTCTCTCGTTGTTTCTCTCGCACATAACCCACCTCTTCATATCATTTTCTTGACATTAATTTGGATCAAAGAAACTCGTTTTCTGATCACGAACTACCTGTGTAACAAGTACATTTGTAACTACCCGTGCATTCATATGGTCATGGGAGCTTCTCTTGCTTCTTTTGAACTGTATGTCTTCACCTCAGTTCAAAAGAAGTAGCATCGAGTTTTCATTCTATGTACCATAGTCATTCATACTCTTTGGTGTTGTGTCTTGATTCTTTTGTGTAGGAGTGGGCGTCTGAACACTGTTCAGCACCTTTCCGAGCTCCTGAGCTGTGGGATTGCCCAAGCCATGCGGATGTAGACGAGAGAACAGATATCTGGTCACTAGGCTGCACCCTTTACGCCATGATGTAAGGACTTCCACTTGTTGCTTGCTTTCCATTGGATTTGTCTAAATCTCTCTCATATGAATATTAGAGAACTGAAACAACTCAGACTAGTTTCTTCTATTACAATCCTGTGCCCGGATTGAGACTATCATTCGATCATATCTTTTGCCCGTCTTTCTGAATCAGAGAAGTGATTTTCGGTTTTTCCAGGTACGGAGTGTCTCCTTTCGAGTATGCCCTCGGAGAATCAGGCGGAAGCCTTCAACTGGCGATCGTTAACGCCCAGATAAAGTGGCCGACGACGACCGGAACAAAGGCTTGTCCTTACCCGGAAGCCCTTCACCAGTTCGTGACGTGGATGCTTCAGCCCCAGGCCACTGTGAGGCCACGTATTGACGACATCATCATTCACGTCGACAAGTTGATCGCCAAGTTCTCCAAGTGATGTCGTGGTCTCTGGCTTTAACAGAGTAGAGAACCCTACATAAGAGAAGATTGCTCGGTTTCTTGTTAAAGGCCTTAGGGGTTCGATGGTTTGCTTGTGTCCCAAGTTATATTCGGAACCCATTTTATTTTATATTTATATTGGTGTTTATTAGCCATTTTTTTTAAAAAAAAAAGAAGCTGAATTAATATTTTGGTAACGTATGTGAAAACTAGGAGTCGTTTTTTTTTTCAATATGAACACCCAATAAAGTTTCTTCTATTACAAGAAAATCATTTATGATTAGCGATTACAATCACATCTTTTTTAGTATCAAACCTTTTTATTAAAATTTGCTTGAGATATGGATATGTAGAAGCTTATGTAACCTATTCGAGATATGGATATGTAGAATCTTTTGGTATCACATAATGAGAAAAATTCCAATTAATTCAAGAAAATATAATAAATTATAATTTCAGACTGATGTGAATGGAAATAAATAAACATTGAATGGGACAATGAAAAGAGAGAGATGCCAATGAGCGAGTGGGACGGAAATCATCTGATTGTGGAAAAAACCTTAATCCATGAGCTTCATGTCGTGATTGTGATTAATTACTAATATTAGAATCTCTATTAGGCGGTGATTATTTAACCTTTTTACTCATCACATGCGTGACGATCATATTATTACCAATGTACACAAAACCAAATTGTAATGGAGTTTTTAAACTAAATAGGAAAAATAACATAAACACTTAAATTTTTTACAAAAATCTTAAATATTTGAACTATAAACTTTTATATAAATATATGAACTTTTAAAAATCTTATAAAAATATCTAAATTTTTATAAATTTTCTTAATAAATTCAAAATACGTTAACGACATAAACTACTTTTTTTTTGAAAAATAACTGAATTTTAGATTTATATAAAAACATTTAAAAGTTTTAGATATTTATATAAGATTTTTGAAAATTTTAAATATTTATATAGAAATTTTATAGTGTAGATATTTATTTAAAATTTTTGTAAAAATTTAGATATTTATATGTTATTTTTCCAACTAAATATTATTTAAAAATTGATTAAACAAAATTTAAAATAAAATACAATTGAATAATCGAATTAAATATAATTATAATTAAAGTAAACTGAAATTGATTTAAAAATGAAATATTGTTATCTAGAAGAAATAATACAAGTAAAAGGATATCAAAAACCAAAAATCGAAAATAATAAAATAAAAATCGTTTGAAAAAGAAAAGTGCGCTGCTACACGGACATACACCCACCCACCATAGTACGTACGTATAATTGTAAATTAAATGTCGAGGTTGTGAGAGGAAAGGTATTTCAAAAAAAAATATTTTATATATTTGTTTTTGGGAATATACAAGAATTTCACTTTTACAGATTTAAGTCAGTCACTTGGAAAATGAAAGAAATAAATACAGAAGTAAATACGGGAAGTTAAATGTCTCGTCACTATTTATTTTCACTCTTTATGTAAAAAAATTAATTACTGCGATAACAAAGTTTGAAGAGATCCGCAGTTCTCTTCATCGTATTTTATTTAGTATCATATGAAATAATGAAACCAGGTGTACGCACATATTATATTTCTCAAAATAATATTTCAAGAGGAATATTATTTCTCATTATTTTGTTAGTGTAATTTGGAATATATATTTATTTTATTTTAAAATATTATTAAATCCAATGATAAATAAAGCCAGAAACGTTTTGCCTTCTGAGGAGGGGACTTGACACTTAGCCGCAGCGAATTTAAGAGAGACAGAACAGCACAATCTCTAGACCCTCCCTCTTTGTTATTTGTATTATCTATTTATTTGTTTTAATAATTGTTTATATATATTTTTGTTGTAAGGTATTTTATTTGTGCATTTTCCTATATTTTCATATTTATTTATTTTCATTCAAAATCCGTCTGAAACCGAACCATTTGAGTTAAATTCTGTAAAGAAAAATTTAAAGAAACCATACAAAAGATTGTCGGATTTAAGCATAAACATTACCCCAAATAACAACAAAATTTAGATTTGCCTCGAGGAAAAAAAACCCTAAACCATAGAAAAAAACGTACCTATGAATGTCAAATTTATGTTGTTCTGTAACCTTTTGTTGCACAAAACATGATATATATATATATTTATAATCTAAAAATTCACTGAATCTTTAGTGCGACTATATCTTCCAGATAACCGGATAATTCTGTATGAATGTTTCTCTCTAAATAAAGACTAGAATTTGGATTGAAATGAAACTTTGCTCATTTTTTTACCTGTTGAAGTTTATGAGAATTTTCATGATATGTATATATATATATATATACCGAAATTACACGGTGGAAACGATTCGGTCGATGCATGCATTATTCTCACTAGGTGAGTAATAGTAGTAATAGACATTTATGACAATTTTGTAGGGGGAGAAGATACGTACATAATAAATAATTAATTAATTAACAAATATGTTAATTATTTTTTTTTTCCACTGGCACATTAACTGAAACCCCAAAACCCAAGAAAAAGAAAATAGGAAACAAAAATCAATAAGTTGTTGTTTTATGATGATGATGATGATGCCACTACTGCAGGATAAGAGATTTCACTTTCTCTCCTTCACAGCTTATAGCTGTATTCTTGCTGTTCTCAAAGTCGGACCATTTATGAGTTTCTCTCTTCCCCCCCTTTATTTTTTTCATCTTTTTATTTTCCTACCGGTAGATTTCAATCTTATTTCACACTAACCATATCCGATAATCGATCCAAATATATCATATATGTATTCATTATATATGGTTATTGACAAATCTATCATTCATTATGGTTATTAGAACTCTTTGCATGAGGTTTTACCTACTACAATATTGTACATTAAAATTTATCATATACATATATATATATATGAAAATAATTATATATATAGAGAGAGAGAGAAAGAGAGATTTAAATCGATATAAGATTGGGAAGTTGTTTGGGGGGGTATCTTTTGCTTTTGTGTTATGTTCGGATGGGGGTATATTTGTCGTGTTATACATACATATATATACAATACATATATATACATAGGGGACTTAGCTGTTGTCTGATCAGAAGGATGATGAGAGATACACTGTTTTTTCTCGGGTGTTTTAAATACAACCCTCTCCCCATTTGTATATCTCTTCCACCCAACCCCATACTATATATATTTCTTGTATTTAATTCCCAAAATACACACACACACGCGTGCGCTACTCGTATATATATAGTCTCCACGACCCCTCATCCATCAATATAAAACGCATACACACGCTTGAATGCTCATATATATATATATATATATGTATGTATATTTCTGCTTGGAGATTTCTCATTTGCTCTTGTCGTGGTTAGGGTTTTCTTGATATTTCTCCCTGGTCGGGCACTTAAATACATATATATACACACAAGGAGGAATTGCAACAATGGAGTCTGCAAAAATATTTGGATCGGAGGAGGAATGTCGCAGCTGTGAATCCGGATGGACAATGTACCTCGTCTCCCCCTCGCATGGCCATGACGACTATTACTATGGTGGTGATGATGATCATGGTCATGGTAATGATGGTAGCGCGAATCAGCATCAGCATCATGAAGAAGATCACAGCGACGTTGACTCGATGGCATCGGATGCTTCTTCTGGTCCCATGGAAGCCAGTCTCCAGCTTCTTAACCGGACCCAGGAGCGTAATTGCAGCAACTACGGTCTGTGCTTAACCAAGAAAACCGGAAAACCGGTTATTAAGAATAAGAATAAGAAGAAGAAGAAGAAGAATATGAAGACAAAGGAAGAGGAGAGGACGGTTTCAACGGAATCAAGGGTTCCCAAGATCGTTCACAACAACAACAACGATGGAGATGATGATGATGATGATGATGATGATGATGATGGCGATGACTCAAGTGATGTTCATAGTTGTGTCGGTTCTGTTAAACCGGATGGTTACGTTTAGTCTAGTTTATGTACTTATGTTGTTCAAGTTCATCAAATATTGTCGTGTCGTCTTGATACTTTCTATCCACTTTCCGTTACCTTGTTAGTTAGTTTTGTATAATTTCTGTTTGATTTAATATTTATACGAAATTCAGAAACTTATATAGACTCCTTGAATAGTTAATATATAGTCATTATTTCGACAATTTAAAACATATTAGTATCATGTTGTAAATAAATTTCAAGCTCATTCCTGGAATATATATTCTTTCAGCAAAAAAGTTAAAAATAAAACGCTATTTTTTATCCTGTGTTTCAAATGTGTAACGCTTAAAAGTAATATATATATATATATATATATATATATATATTGATAATTACTGTCACATATTAACAATTAACAAGCTTTATGGACGTCAATCAATCTATGCACGACCGACCGTGCATTTCTTATTTTGAAACCGTAATTTTATTATCGGCCGTATTTCTATTAATTGATGATCATATTTAAAATAAAAATAATATTAGCTAGAATGACTAACAATATGTATGTGTTTTTTTTCCAAATTATAAAATAATTATTTTTATTATTGTGTTTTGTTGATAAAAAAATGAGTATGTATGTATATATATATATATATATATATTGTTAGTCATTCTAGTGTAACAAACCTAATATAACAAAGAAATCTATACACACTCATTTTATCAACAATATATATATTAGAATCTATAAAGCTTGTTATATTAGATTTGTTACACTAGAATGACTAACAATATATATATATACACACTCATTTTTTATCAACAAAACACAATAATAATAATAATAATAATAATAGTTATTTTATAATTTGGAAAAAATAGAAGTAGATCTTGGGAATGTTCATATACACACACTACATTGATTCATATTCAATATTCATATTAAAAGAAAAAAATACGAATTTACCAAAAAAAAATACGAATATAACCCTCATATTTCAGCCAGCTAATGTAGACGTATTGGGCCGTTCGGAAGAATTGGCCCACATTTACGGGCCGACTGGTTGTAAAACATAAAATCATCCGAGTCACAGAGATTAGAGAATCGCTATCCCGCTATCGCGTCGCTTCCTGACTCGGTCGTTGGAGACCGAGACGACCCGGTCGACAATGGCGCCGTCGCCACCACCACCACCGAACAAACGCCGGAAATTCACAGCTCCAGATATTCATCACAGGGATGATCAATCCGAAGACGGGTATGAACCATGGAGACCGGGAACTCCGATGAAAAAGGATGAATCCGGATCTCCAGTTTGCGGAATCTGCTTGTCGGAAGGTGGAAAATCGATTACCGGACAAATCGATAGTTGCGACCATTACTTCTGCTTTGTATGCATCTTGGAGTGGGCGAAGGTCGAGTCCCGTTGCCCCATGTGTAAGCAAAGGTTCACCTCCATTCGTCGGCCGCCCAAGCTCGGCGTGTTCGCCGGCGAACGAATCGTCCGTGTTCCACAACGCGATCAGGTAAGGTCGATTCGATGCTTCATCCAAGTATATGGATTCTGCTTTAATTGAACTAATACCTTTCTCGAGCTCTTTGCCGATAGCTCAGAAATTATGAATTGGATTTCAGTTCGCATAATTTCTGTTGTTCTTCGGTAAGAAAATTATGTTTGCATCCTATGTCTCTTAAATTGAAACGTCTTTGCTTCCTGGGGATTTTTTTTTCCAAATTCAAAATCTCGATTACGTTGCCTGCGGTTTTGGAATTTCCCAGCCTCAACTTGGTTGCAATAACTCTTTGAACAATCTAGCTTCTATTCCCTTGAAGCTGTCGGAATGTTTCCATCTCTTGATCATAGCTTCTGTTCCCTTGAAGCTGTCGGCAATGCACATTGACTGTTGTAAGTTTTGCTGAATTTTTCAGGTTTATCATCTGTCTGGCAATGCCACAACCACTCGTTCCGACCCCTATGCCGACACAAGTTGTATGGTATGCCGTAAAATGTCCGACGAAAGCCTTCTGTTACTGTGTGACCTTTGTGATTCGGCTGCTCATACTTATTGTGTTGGGTTCAGCCACACTGTCCCTGAAGGCGACTGGTTTTGCCACGACTGCACTGTTTCCAGGGCCCATCACGAAAAAGCCGATCAAGGTGATCAAAGTGTTGACAGTGAAAATGAAAAATTTGCCGAAGAATGTGTTGAACCTGCAGCAACTGATCCAAACATTTCGATATTTGATATTGTGAAAGATGCGGATGATTCTTCTCTGCCAAAACAGATATCCCGCTTCGCTTCTCCTGGACATGGAAGTTCCATTGCAGATGAAGAAACTGGTGCTTTCCCAAAAAGACATAAGAATCTTGGTAGCTGTTGGGCAGGTGAATCATGTGCTAGGACGTTACGGCGCTGTCGCAATGTGCAGAGCCGTATACAGATATTACGTGATAATTGGAATTCACTAAGAGATGGGTCATTGAAATTCCCCTCTGGTTCTGGTGAATCCTCTGCAGGTAGTTGTAAAGGGCAGGAAGAAGGTTCGGTTTCTTTCTTATCGTCTCCAAACGAACAGTCCAGAGCACGGGATGGTCATGTGGGATTCACTGAACGGGAGAAAAAGGACCCGTACGACACTGAGAAGGCATGGAAAATGTTGGAAATGGCAAAGATAGCCCAGAAGATCAGATCAGAGAATGGGGATCGTCTTTCCAAAGCTCCATCTTTTAGCAGTAGCAGCAAAATTTTATCTAAGATAAGGTCTCGTAGTTACTTATCATCAGAGAAGCAGCAAACTGGGGTTAGGAATCTTGGGAGCTCTGTAATGAAAATGAAGCAGAAACAGATTCTTCAGCGCCTCGAGACTGGTCGGGATTTACCAAAACAGAAGCAGATTCTTGATCCGACCCATCAAGCTGGTCAACACAAATCAGAACTTCCAAGTTCAGCGATAGAGTTCCGTGAATATCCATTACACAGAAAGGCCCCTGTCCGAACTGATTACTTCATGTCCAGATCATGTGCAGACAATGCGCATAAAAACACATCAAACAAGGACCATTCAGAAAACAGATCATCTTTTCGGCTGAACACAGCTGGATTTGATTCCATTCCACCTCAAACAAAGACGGGCTTTGCCGTGGCTCCCTCATCAAACCCGAATCCAGGGAAATGCTCAGCTACAAAGACAGAGAAACAGAACGAGAACGCGAAAACCGAGATCCAATCTCTGGTCAAGCTGAACATGAAACTCCTTACCAAAGACAAGCCATTAGGTGCGTACGTATGTATGTATTAGCATTTAACTTCTCCAAATCGCCCTTCTGGTCACTCTTTACTGCTCAAAATCTCTTCTTTCAGTGGTAGAAAATTCCTGACATGTCTGGACGGTCCATCCATATGGACACATTTTGTTTTTGGCAGGAGTCAGAACGTTCAAAGAAGTGGCGAGAATCTCGACCCACACCATCTTGGCCGTGTGCGGGTTGGAGCACTCGAAGCAGAGGACACGACCCTTCGATCGTCCGATATGCAGCCACCAGAGCTCGACCCTCTTGCAAGACGTCTGCCCTGAATGCTTCTCCGCTTTTGCAACCGACGTGGTGCGGTCTGTCATGAGGGAGAATATGCTCTTGAAATAATCCTATGAACATCCCCTCCAACCTGTGAGTTCTTTCTACATCCTCTTCTTCGTCTTTCTTTCTATATTTTAGTATATATATTTTATATATGTGTGTGTGTGTGTGTATTCTTTAGACATGACAATGGCTTTTTTTGGCTTGGCATGTAGATAAAGATGAACAAATATATTATTAACCTGCTTAGCAGAAAGAAATTTAATGATCAATACAGTAACAATAACGGCGACATATTCGGCTATTTTTTTTACTGATTATTTTTCAAGTAATAGGCGTTGTTGTGAGAACATGGGCCTAATGAGCGCGAGATATGCTTGGTGATGTTAGGGTTTAGGGCCCATTGGGCCTTAAAAGGCTTAGATCCCTCCTTGGTGGGCTTCCTTGACTCATCCCACGTGTCATGACGTCGTTTTAGGAACACCATTCAATGCATAGCACACGAATCAAAATTGTTTTTCTCAATATGCTCCATCTTATTTTTCTCGTCACATATATATACACACACACACATTAATGTTCCCGTAGAAAGCATATAAATTCCATTTTAAACGATGCAATCGTTTGAATAAATAGATGCAATCGTTTCAATAAATATATATATACACACACACATTAATGTTACTATTAATTATATATTGTCTCCACAGCCGTCTCATATATTTTCGGAGCCCGGTACAACAAATATTTATTTTTATTATCAATATATTAAATTTAAAATTTTAAAATATTTAAATATTATGAATTATATTAAAATATTAATATGAACAATTATATTTTTAAGAATAATTTTTTTTAAAAATAATATAATTGTATCATTTTTTACTTAAATAAGATCATTTTTCTAACTTTAGTTGAAGCAAAAATATCCATATATGTTATTATTAAAGAATAATAAATATACAATAGAATGATAATATTATCATTAAAAAATAAACATTGATAATATAATATCTTAAGATTTGTGATATTCATAAAATAAAAATATAAACGAAGAGTAAGGTATAAGAGTGATTTTTTATAACAAATTTTGGATTGAAAAAGATTGATAGTGTAAAATTAAGATTCATTTTAGATTTATAGAAAAATATAATTATTAATTATATTGATTAAAAAAATTAATATCATAACGTAAAAAATGACTAAAAAATTATAATTATTAATAAAGATATCCTCTATCTATTTTTAAGGCCCCGGAGGTTTGTAAAATATGATTTTAATCATTTATTAAATATTTATTAATAAATATTAACTATAAATTGATTAAAAAAAATTGCAATATGAGGCCCACATAAATTGTGGAGTCCTGTACTGAAGAACCACTTGCACATGCCCTGAAGACGGCTCTGATTGTCCCTAACATTCAAAATTTAGTGGTAGTCGACACATCTATTTATAGACCATTTGGTACATGACCTCGATATTATCCTCTGGAATTACATTTTTTTCAAACGGACTAAATTAAAGGAAACGCCGTCATAATGACGGCGACGATGATTAATATACAAACGTGGCCAGATATCAATCTATTTTAGTTGCCACTCAGCGTCGTCAATTAAGACTATATGTATATACACATTGATATATATATATATATATGTGTGTGTGTGTGTGAACGTTGTGGTCCATTCCGGAATTTAGTTTGGAACTAGTTCGGACTAAACCGAATACCATTTGGCTCTGAAACCGAATAAACGTGGGAATCCGTATTCATTACTTTTCGAGTGCACATAGCTTACAAACCAAATGAGAAATATAAATAACAGATGATGAGGTTAAGAGGGTTCGAACCCCAACTTTGAAGTTAAAGAGTCAACTCACCTCGGAATTTCCCGAACAAACCATTTCTAAACCGAGTTCAACGGATACCGGATCAAATTCAATAAATACCGAACCAAGATACGAGGTATCCGACTTTATATACGAATTTATGCGTAAATATCAGTTTTGCTTTATTGTTTACCCATATAATAACAAAACCGCTATAAAACAGAATCAACATTAAAATAGGACCGAACCGATTATTAACATTCAGTTTTATTTGTTATAGTTTTTATTTTTATTTTTTTTGTCAAACTAGAAAGTTCACCTGGACCTTTGGCCCAACCTACATCTCCCTGGGCCCGGGAGCAGCCTTTGAACACACAGCCTTTGGCTATGTCTCTCCCTTCCCGCATACCTGGATTCGAACCCCTGACCTGGAGGAGGGACACCCTCACATCATTTGTTATAGTTTTTATCAAACCGGATAAACTATTCCCGAACCAAACCTCATAATATGGTTTAGTAATGCCTGAACGTTATTAAGCCACGTCATTAGCAAATAAGCATAATAAATAGGGTACATTGTATCCTTCGAATGCCACTCAGGCAGTTTTTCAACATTATCAGACTCTTCAAGTCAAAGTGCCAATCCTATCACCGATTGTTTTATTTTCTTTATATCGGTTATAAAGAAATTAGCAACTTTAATAACAAAAATAGAATATAAGTTAGTTAAATTATTAATCGCGTCACCCACATTGATAGGAACCTCACAAGAGAGCACTGTCCTCCAATGTTTATATAATATGGGGAAGACATCATTTCATACGACACAATGAATACTTGTCGTGTGTTTGCAATTTCTATTAACCGTCGTATATATCCAAATGTATATTTTATTACTTTTTTTTTGAAAATATTATGATTATGTCAAAATTTCCAAAATTTCACATAATATATATATATATATATAACTACATTCATATAGCATTTTCGTATGAAATCAAAATAACTAGTGAAAGGGAAAGACAGAGTTGTAACACACACAAAAAAAAAAACACAATGCATATTCACGTATAAATTTTGCATGGGCAAACGCGTTTGAAATGCATGGTACCGTTAATCTTTTTTATAATATGGTTTTATAATTTTATTTGTTAGGCTAACGAAATTGAAATGCATACGATTTCAATCCAGGCACGTATACGATTGTGCACATGCAATTTCGGACGTAATAAATATATTTTAAAACATTTTTTAGAAGGTGACGTGGCAGGAGAAGAACCATTGGAACTGGACACGGAGATAGAACAGAAGCAGATAAAGCGGGGTGGCCGACAAGTCGACAAATCTGATTTTACGTTGACATCCATTTCAGCTCCACCTTCCACGTGCCCTCTCCCTTATCAACTGCCACGATTTTTCTCCCCACAAATATCCTCTCCATTTTGTTCCCAAATATAATTTGGATTCATTATTGTGAGTATTATCATGACTTTAGAAAGACTATAGGTTATCACATTATTACATGATTATAAAAAATAATAACCTTCTATTATTGTATTTTTTTTATAGATAGCAGACTTTCTTTCTTTTTTTCTTTTAGATAAAAAGACGGTCGTTTCTTTTTATCTTCTGCGATATCTCCATTAAATTCGCATTGAAAAGTTTCTGAAAACAATGTAAGAGATCACGTCAAAAAGAAGACAACATAGCAAGATATTCGTCGATACTATCGAATCCACGTTTCAGGAAATTAAGTCTATCAAATTACGTTTTGTCCCGTTTTAATTCAAAAATAAATTATTGTTGACTTGTTTATTTAATTAATTGATAGCAGTCCATCTAATAATCATGCGAATATTACAACAGAATACATATATATATATATATATATATATATATATATATAATCTAAACTTTAATATATATTCATCACTAGATAGACTCGCATCTACAAATACCATGAACATCTGATCTATGTTATTTTCGAATCCACCACGATCTATCTGAACCACCGATATGAAGCTATTCAAATTTTATTCCTACATACATACATACATACATACATACATACATACATACATACATACATACATACATACATACATACATACATACATACATACATACATACATACATACATACATACATACATACATACATACATACATACATACATACATACATACATACATACATACATACATACATACATACATACATACATACATACATACATACATACATACATACATACAATATTTCAATTATTAAATTAAACCAATATCATAACAAAATTCGTTGATGAATGAATGAAATAATTCGGGACTTTCTTTTAACCGAATAATCATGAATATAATATACGAATGAACGTTACGTAAATACTAGAAATCAATATGGGTAGATTCGTCATTTCGGACAAACTGCCTGTTCAGATATTTAAGAAGATATGCTTTGTCAGAGTTCAAAAGCTTCCCCATGCTTACTCCTACTTCTAATCCTCTGTCTCTTCCTCTTCATCTGTAACCTCAAACGTGATCAGTTATTGCGCAGAAACACGTTCAAACAGAGAATTCTAAGATTTCTCCAAAGGAGATCATGCAAGATATTCATATGATCAGCGACGGCGGAGGAGCGGGGAGGTTCTTCGGCGGCGGCAGAGCTGTCGGAGACCTGCGGCTTCGGGCCCACCAGAACCATCACCAGACCCTAAAGTGTCCTCGTTGCAATTCCCTCAACACCAAGTTCTGCTACTACAACAACTACAATCTCTCTCAGCCACGTCACTTCTGCAAGAGCTGTCGCCGGTATTGGACCAAAGGCGGCGTTCTCCGCGACGTCCCCGTAGGCGGCGGCTGTCGGAAAACCAAGCGCGCCAAACGCAAGAAGCCCTCTTCTTCCTCCGCCGCCGGAGAATCCTCCGGAAAACCGACGCCCGACGCCGAGGAAGAAGGAAAGCCCACGACCTCTTACTCCAGCAGCGAGAGCTCTTCCCTCACCGCCTCCAACTCCGCCGCCGGAATCCGGCCAGGATCCACTTCGGTGGCGGAGGTTGCATCGGTACCCATCCTGGGTTTTAGTACGAACAACCCGAGATTGTACGGGGAGGGTATCGAATGGTCTGCGATGATCGGACAAGGTTCATCGGAGTACGGTGGGGTTTTCCCGGAGATGCGGAGCTTAACGAGCATGAATTCAACGGCGGCGAAGGCCAAGGCTAACGAAACGACGCCGTCTGGGTTGAGGCGTAATACTGTAAATATGATACAACAGTGTGGAGATCACCTGAAGGTGGAGGGGGAAACGGTAAATGGACAACTGTTGGAGGATCGGACGGTGCAAGATGAGTTTCATGGGAACTTTGGATTCGAACCGTTGGATTGGGGTGGCGATCAATCACTGTTTGATCTAACCAGCATCGTTGATCATACATACTGGTTTTAATATGATAATTTTTTTTTTGGTATGAATAATATGATAAATTTTGTATCTGTTACTGACCTTTCTTGATTATATTTTTTATAAGATTTAAAATTCTGGGATTTTCTGTATTGATGTATCTGAATATGTTTTGAGCTTGGTTTGTAGCATTCAAAATCTTGGGTTTGCTTGATTTTATATTCTTAATATAAATTTCTGGTGTAAAGAGATTTCGTTACAAAACTATACCGTAGCATGAGGCCGTTATTAAATTTGTCCTTTGAATTAATAACAAATGCTTTAACAAAAAAAAATTAATAACAAATGCGAGACCGAATGTTACTTAAGACTAGCAAAGAAAAAATATCATGGGAATTTCGAGCAGAACTTAGGGTAGGGACCAGACGGGCGCTGTGCATGGGACCCACGTGTTAGTGACTGATTCCCATGCGCGACAGTAACTCCACGTGGCGGATGAGATTCTAGTGGGTCCTATCCACGTGGTGTTACCCCATTGGCTGACGTACTTGGGATGGTCAGTTTGTCCTCCTCTCTAAATTCTAATCCCCTTGAAAGCTTCAAAGATCTAGCCTGGGAGTGATCTTCTGTGCACCGGTACCTTCAACATACGGATTTATGGCCGTTGGATCAGTGGGACTCGTATAGACCGTGCGATATAACGATGGAGATCAACGGCTACAATGTAGAGGGGTCCATATTAGGTAGGTGGTTGTTACTGTAGGGAAGCACAGGGGAGGGTGGGCCAATCAGGACATGTGCGTTTGTAGAAATATCACAAATGGAAATTTTGGTTGGGCGGTTTAAGAGTGTGGAATTGTCTGCGGTTAGGTGTAGGTGTCCACCAGGTTTCCACAAGAATTTTATTGTTTATTTTCTATTTCTCAACAAAATTTATATCTTTTCTTATTTAGCTCTCAAAATTTTGTATTATCCAGTCGAAATCGATGAAACAATAAATATATGATTTCTCAGCAAATATTTTATTAACTAAAATTTTAGAATTTAAATGAACATATATTAATGTTTTAAAGTAAAAATGTCAATTGGGTTAGATTAAATGGATTAACCCAACCAACTTCACTAATCATAATTTACGATGCAACCCATTTAGGTAATTTTATTAAATAGGTTAGATGGATTTAACTCATTTGGATTATGGATTGAATGGATTTACCCAACAAACCCAATAAACTCATTATACAATTAACTTAAGTTATTTGATTATGTAAAAATCGAATTGTAGTTGAATTCGAATTGAACGAAATTATATTGAAGATGAATTCAAATCGAATATTAATCAAAATATATATATATATATACATATGGATTTGAATCGGACGAAATCCTATACAAAAACCAAATCTAAATCGATTCCGAATCGAACTTAATCACATGTAAAAACGAAATCGAATCGAATAAGAATCAAATGAAATCCTATGTAAAAAACGAATTCGATATCGAATACGAATGGAATGAAACACTAGATCTTTGTAAACACGAGTTGTTCAAGTGAATTTACGTAGTTTCTTTATACTAGAATTACCAATTCTTCCTCAATGTAACATAACACAAACTAAATAGACAATATAATTTTCAAGCTATTAAATTATGTGTATTCTCCAAAACTCGAAACCTATAGTACGTACGATAGTTGTTATATCTATGTGGTGGAAGAATAGAGAGAAAGAACATCTCGTATCTACAAGATCCATTAAGAGAAAGTTTTGTATTGATATTACGTATCGATACCGACATATATATATCGAGTACAGTTATTATCATCATATGCATATATATATATATATATATATATATATATATATATATAGTTATGATCACATGATGGTCCTTAAACGAAAACGATAGGTGGAATATAAAGTGAATTAAAAGACCGGTCTAACATGTCAATTGATAATTGTTCAATATTTGGTACGTACGTACGTGTACGTATTCTAATCGTAGACGAAATGAGTCGTGTACATAAGGAATAGGGCCATGAGAGTTGATGGGTCGGGCTGAAAGTGGTCCATTTTCTTTGTGAAAACTTTGACGTTGAACTTATTAATATTATCTACAAAGACGGACAAATACAAAGCTGCAGATACAAAGCGTGCCGTTTCATCATCAGAGACGGCAAGTGAGTGGCGGGTGACTTTTGAGTTGGAAGTCTATATATACCGACTGGCGACTGTGACGTTTGTGGGGTACGTTGTCCGGTCCCCGGTTCTCTATTTCGTGTGTTTGCTTTAGAAAAGGCTTTTGAAAACGATCTCTCAGATTCTGTTTTCTTCTTGATTCGTAAATGAATGAGCCGGTTTAATCCTATTTCGGTTAACCAGATAACACCAACTACGTTTACCGGTTTAAACAGTAATACCGACGTATGTTCCATGTTTAGCCCCAATCGATCAGACGTAGACACGGTCTCGGCTTCGTGGAAGAGAAAAGATCATGTTGGTTAGCTCCGGTTCAGGTACAGAACCGGTAAGAAGTCAGTGGGCTCAAACCGAGGCGGTCTTTGTAACCCATGTTCTGTCTCTATCTGCCGAAGATATCTGGCTATGATTTCGATGGTAAGGACGTAAAGTTTCTTCTCCATTGATTGAAGCTTGCTCTTGCATGCAAGGTGTCAAGGACAAACGATCTGGACGGAGAGTTTTTCAAAAGGGCAAGTGGCGATCCTAGAGAATAGATAAAGTATAAGAGGGTAATTTGGTCATTCCCCACGGCCCATATGTTTCTGAATCAAAGCCCATGATCACTTGTCCCGTGTCATGGCTCTACCTTTTTGTCCAAAGCATACGAAAGAAATGCATAAACAAAAGAAAGATAAATGTATGTATGTATGTATGTATGTATGTATGTATGTATGTATGTATGTATGTATGTATGTATGTATGTATGTGCATATTTATATATGTATGTATATGTCTATGTACGTATACATATGTATGTATGTATGTATGTGCGGATGTGTATTATTATTTTTTTTTTTGCTAATGTACATTGATGATGTGGTATAATAGTGATGTATATATGTGTATTAAATTTAAATATCACGTCAACAATTTACATCAGATTGAGTCTCGATGGTTATAGGTAATATGATGAATATCTCTATATATATATGAAACAAAATTTATGATTTTTTAATACTCTAAAGTAAATAATAAAATCTCATAGTGCATTTTTTTATTTAAATGAAAAAGTAGATGAATTTAATATACTTTTAGACAAAATCACATATTTTATAATTTATTGTTTCATAATTATTGGCTCTCCGGCCATCCAAGAGGCTAATTCCATTTAATAAATTATTTAGGCCTCGACAAAAAAAGTTAATGCAAATGGATTTTCCCGAGTTTATATAGCCTACTACCATTGATTCATTGTTGTTGCCATTATCAATGATTATTTGATAATTGCGTAGAAACCGCTCGTGGGCCTCCAATCGTATAACGATATAACAGATAATATAGATGAGAAACTATTTTTGTAATGAAAATTCAATAATACATACATCATATGGTGCAAACGTCTTATGTCTACACAATGTCGGCCCGTATTCGAAATCCAGGATGGGGAGAAAACGCATAATTTAAATCACATGGTTAGTTCCAGATTCCGTGATTAGTCTGGATCTCGATCCAGGAAACCCGGTTACCAAAAAAAATATCGTCTGTTATTTTAATAATATATTTGATGAAAATATATTGGAATATTTATTTACCAAAAAAAAGAAAAGAAAATATAATGGAATATTTGGTATTGAAGTGAGTGAAAGAAAATATAATTTTTATTAAGAACATTTTTATTTATTTTTTCTTTAATAGTCAGATACAAACATGTAGGATTCACGTGCAGACGTGATCGCTTGGAAACCGCGTTGCATGGTGGGAATGTTATATCATATATTATTTATTTTCTAAATTTTTTGTCCAAATGAAAATTCATTATTTTCCAAGTGGCTTTATGCATGCGGACGAGGATCAACATGTTTGGTTGTATGATTGTAAATTTTCAACAATAAAATATTAGAAAAATTGGCACCAATATCCAAATATGTCACAAATCTATACTTTTTTTCTTTTGCAAAATTGCAAAGTATACATTTTTATAATTGTTTGACAATAATACCCTTACTTTATGGTATAATTTTAATATTATCATTAAACATTCCAAAAAATTTGCAGCATAAAAAACCGATTTTTTTGGAAAACTGTGTTATACGGAAAAACTATTTTTTTATCCGTGATAATTATTTTTCATCCGAGAATTTGTTCTCGTTTGGAAGAACTACTTTTGTATACGAAAATTTTTTTTTATCAAGAAGAACTGTTTCTCGTTCGAAAGAATTATTTTTTCATCTAGAAAAGATATTTTTATGCGAAAGAACTGTTTTTTTATTCGAAGAAATCTATTTTCGTCCGCGCGAATAATTTTTTTCCGAGAGAATTGTATTTATCCGGAAAAAAATGTTTTTTTATCTGAAAGAATTATTTTTATCCGAAAAAATATATTTTTCATTCGGAAGAACATTGTTCAGGAAAGATTGTCCTTCTCAAACAAAAAGCAGTTTGTTTGGACAAAAAACAGACTTCTCCAGATGAAAAAACAATTTTTTCAGACGAGAAACAATTTTTCTAGATTAAAAAAATTGTTTTCGTATAAAAAACAGTTCTTTTGGACGAAAACAGCTCTTTTTGCGAAACTGTGTTATCTGGAAAATCTATTTTTTCATTCGAGATAATTATTTTTCATCCGGAAAAATTTGTTTTCGTTTGGAAGAACTGTTTTTGTATACAAAAAAATAATATTTTTTTTATCAAGAATAACTGTTTCTCGTCCGAAAGCATTGTTTTTTCATCCGGAAAATAATTTTTTATACAAAAGAACTGTTGTTTTATTCGAAAAAATTTATTTTCGTCTGGGAAAATTATTATTTTTTTGTGTGAATTGTTTTCATCCGGAAAAGAATGTTTTTTATCCAAAAGAATTCTTTTTATCCGAAATAGTATATGTTCGTCAGGGAGAACTTTTCATATGGGAAAGATTATCTTTTCCAGACAAAAAACAGTTTATCTCGACAAAAAACAGTTTTCCTCGGATGGAAAACAATTTTTCCGGACGAGAAACAGTTCTCTTGGATAAAAAATTTATTTTTCGTATAAAAAAATACTTCTGTTGAACGAAAACAGATTCTCCCGGACGACAAATAATTATCCCGGATGAAAAACAGTTTTTCCAGACGAAAATAGATTTTTCAAACAAAAAACAGTTTGGTTGGACAAAAAACAGTCTTCTCTGGATGAAAAAACAATTCTTCCAAACGAGAAACAGTTCCCGCGGATAAAAAAATTGTTTTTCGTATAAAAAACAATTCTTTTGTATGAAAACAAGTTCGCAAGGACGATAAATAATTGTCTCGGATAAAAAAATATTTTTCTAAATAACATAGTTTTATAAATAAAAAAAATTTGCACTTTCCATAATCGCAATATTGAAATTATACAATAAAATAAGAATATTTTTGTCAAAAATTTATAAAAAGGTATAGTTTGCAAAGAAAGAAAAAAAAAGTATAGATTTATGATGATGTGACATATTTGTCATAGTTTTCCAATTGCCCCTAAAATATTTTTATTAGAGATATATATACGAATCTCTCATATATTTTTAATAATAAGATATCGGTGAATGAAAAAGATAATAAAATATTATATATATATATAT